CCGTAGAGGCGAATTGTGTCAGGCTCTCTTCAATACCGAGAGCCTGATACTCAGGTTACATTATATTCTGCATGTGAGTTTGTCCGTTTGTTCATTCGCATCAATACGTTTCCTTAATCGCCTAGTAAAAATTCCTTGCACGTGCTCGAAACAGTATACATTTTTGCGGGAAAATTAATTAATCTTGGACTCTGAAGACCGACTGTTTGCTGGGCTTTATCTCTGGCCCAAACATGGACAAAAATACCACTGTCGAAGCAGCGTAAAGGCTAATTTCCACTCGGGAAAATTATCCGTGGATTGGAACGGACAAGAAAATTTTTCTTTGTCTTGTGAGCTCTGATTTGGAACTAATGACTTTAACACAAAGAAAAATTTTCTTGTCTGTTCCAATCCACGGATAATTTTCCTGAGTGGAAACTAGCCTCAAAACGTTGACGTTGTATTTATGGTGGAAATTGATTTCAAAATTCATAATTTTCTATACCAGCGATTCATGGGTTTTGAAACACAAGCCGCTCAAAATAAAATATCACCGTTCGATTCAGCGTATAGGAAATTGTACTTACGGATGTCAAATGTATTACTAAACAACAGTATTCTAGAGATTTATGGCCTTTGAAGTTTGAAAGTCAAGCGAAATTGTTTGTTGACAAATCGCTCAAAATTATTAAACTATAATTAAAAATGGCATGTAGTAAAACACTGACTACCGGAACACCGGAACACCACCGGAACACCGGAACACCACCATTTTGTTTGGGGTTAGGGTTTGGGGTTAGGGTTAGGGTTGGGGGTTAGGGTTAGGGTTAGGGTTGGGGGTTAGGGTTGGGGTTAGGGTTAGGTGGTGTTCCGGCGGTGTTCCGGCGGTGTTCCGGTGGTGTTCCGGTGTTCCGGTAGTCAGTGTTTTACTACATGCCATTAAAAATGCAGTACGTTTGATATAACTTTGGTATCGTTGGTTTTCTCTTTTCGGCCGTATACCAGTATATTCATCTCACTTTTCTCTTCATTTTGATAGTATTTCATGTGCTAAAACCTGGACGATGGACGCCAGGGGCCGTTTCTACGCCCTCTCTCCCTTCGCCCTGTATTTTACCAGGGTCTTCCTCAGCTCACGCGCCACCACGAGGAAGACCCTGGGGATGAGGTTGGATTTGGAAAATTCAAAAAGTTCAATTTTGTAGTTTTGCTTTTCACAAAAATGGTTAGTATATTGCAAAAATTGTGTTGTTTTTGTACTGAAAATTTATAGCTTGAAGGTTAAGGCTGTGTCAGTTATGTTAAAAGTTTTTAATGTTGGATTTCTATGGTGTTTTTAGTAGAATTAGGTGTAGAAATCTGTGTAATTTGTCGGGGGTCACATGGTATGTTGAGTCATTTTAGACGGCGATAGTCTGATAGACGGTATTATTTAATAGAGCACACGCTCTAAAATCATCTGCTGTTACAGGCCATGTCTGTATTTAAATTGCCACTCAAAATGTCAAATTGATGTTTATCAAACCCCACCAACCCAGCATTTACTATGTCAAAACCCACCAATACACCCTTCTGGAAACTGCATCACTTTGGCTAATAGAGCCTCGTTTTTGAGTATGTGACATTAGTCAAAGCCTAACGTCTCAATCAAGAAAACAAGCCTCGATAGGCATCACTGTTCAATAATTTTAGTTGTCATTGTATTTGATTTTAGTTTCGAAACCAATATGATAACGATGTCAGCATTTGGAGTCCACAGGTTTGTACAAAATATTAAAATGGACCATTCATACCTCCCCCATGAAAGAAAGTGGAAATTATAACCACCTTTAATACACTTATTATTAGAAACAAATTTTTCTTCCCTCCCCCTCGATTGGGGAAATGTGGATCTTTTTTGGAATGACCCAATAATACAATTTTCCTCTCTTTACATTTTCAACATTACTGTATTTTTGATACATTTGATTGCTACAGGGACGAATTCATCAAATTGAGTATGCCATGGAAGCCGTGAAACAAGGTTCAGCCACAATAGGCATAAAGTCGTCAACTCATGTTGTGTTAGTGGCTTTGAAAGTATGTGATGTATAAATACTTTTATTATATAAACTGTAGTGCTTTATAGAGATTTCGAGCAATTTCACATATGAAAATTATCGCTTTTCTGTAAAAATTATCGCTTTTCAAAGACTGTCCTTTATATGTATAATAAACAGAAAAATACATGGATGCTTGGAAATACCAGATTTATTTCTCATGTTATAAATCTGGTATTTCCGTTCAGCCATGTATTATCCTCTATTTAAAAGCCAATTTACTGTACACTACACAATTTTTATCTAAAACTGTTGCAACAACCTGCTTACAACTTGAGTTGTACTGTGTAAATCAAGCACACAACTCACATACAGCAAAATAGCAAATTGTGTGCTTGATTTACACAGTACAACGCAAGTTGTAGGCAGGTTGCATGTGACAGTTTTAGATAAAAGTTGTGTAGTGTAAATTGGCCTTGATAGAGTCAGTGAAAATTTAAGTAAAATTGCCTAATTATTTAGCGAGCTGCATCAGAGTTGTCAGCACATCAAAAGAAAATTATTCCAATAGACGATCACATTGGTGTATCTATAGCTGGTCTAACTGCAGATGCCAGATTACTGAGGTTGGTTGAATTTTTTTGTATTAATGTATCAAGTGTTTGAAATGTTATAGTCCTAACAGTATGATATATGTATTGCTAATCGTGTTTTTCAGTAAGTTCATGAGATCAGAATGTTTGAATTCTAAGTATGCTTATGACACGCCGTTGCCTGTTGCAAGATTAGTTGGATCTATCAGCGACAGTATCCTTTTATTTTTGATGTATTGTAGTTCAAGAAATTTAATGTAATCATACTTCAATGTAGTGTAATTAATTAGTAATTAGTGAGCAGAATAAATGAGTAATCTGCCCTACTTTGTTATGTTACTCTGACTGTTTAATTCCAGATGTTTTTACTCATCAAGATTAGAGCACTGGTACTCGATAGGTTAAATGAACACATATCACTCCTTGATTCTAAAACAGAAATGCAAACACAAACACAAGTTTACAGTCGACGTCCTTATGGAGTTGGGCTTCTAATTGCTGGATATGATGTAAGTAATTTGTGGTGTCTGGTTTGTATGACAGTCCATAAGTGGCAGAATTCAGTGACATTGGACAAATTAATATTTTCAAATTAAACTAACTATAACTATTTAATGTTAACCAGTTTGAAATCCTCACAGGATGCTGGACCACATTTATACCAGACTTGTCCGTCAGCAAATTTTTTTGATTGCAAATGCATGGCAATTGGGGCTAGATCACAGGTAAAAGAATATGATGTTATAATATCTTGATATATCTTGTTTGAAAAGCAGTCAGTGTGGTTCATCTGTCATTGAGTTTATGAACAGTAAATATATTTATTTAGTTCTGTGTTGTATGATTTTTTTTTCCTTAAAAATGTGTCTTCTTCCCTTCTAGTCTGCAAGGACATATTTAGAAAAAATGTTGGATGAATTTCCTAATTGTAAGTTCATGGTCTGGAACAGTTGTGTTTAGGGCCACTGAGAGGTTAAGGGAGGCCTGGGGCAAAACTTTCTAAGAAGGCCCCTATGATGTTAGAATTATAAAAAGGAGAAGCGGTGATTCACAATTTATTACACTTTATTGCATATTAACCCACACTAACACTTGTTAGTTAAATTAAGCACTCTTTTATCAAAAAAGGGCCTTTGTTGCTTTGGTAGCCCCTTTTGAGCTGGGCCCCAAGGCAAAGCCCTCCACACACACACACTCTTGGCAGCCCTGGTTGTGATAACATGTTATGCAACAAACTGTTCTTTATTCTAATAATTGTACATTCATTTGCAAAGGTACACCAGAAGAACTAATAAAACATGGTTTAACAGCGCTAAGAGAAACTTTACCTAATGAACAAGAACTTACAACGAAGGTAAATTGCACTATATTATTTCAAAGCTTGTTCTTTGTATATACAGTAAAATTAATATTTTTAAAGCTAGCTATATACAGTATTAATGAAAAATTTAATTTTTCTTTCAGAATTCATCAGTGTGTCTGGTTGGAAAAGATCATACTTTGCAAATATTTAATGATGATGCCGTCGCACCTTATGTATCCTTGAGATAATTATGAGTCGTTTACACTGTCACAATCGTAAGCCCTGCTCTCAAATGGTAATCGTAATGTTCAAAAATATTTACAATGATTTATGATTAAAAGATTTCCAATGAAGAGACAGCATGCTCTTGAAGGAAGTTTTTACAGAGAGTGCAATATTGTTTGTAGTCCAAACAGTTTCTTATCTCAGCTGGCAAAGAATTGAATATCTTCTCATCCTTGTTTGACCATGGCTGTACAGTAAAACACACTTATTTCTACCTAAAATTTGAGATGGGAATCAAATTTGAGGTAGAAATATGTGTGTTTTACTGTACAGCCACAGTCAAACGAGGATTTCTACCTCAAATTTGATTCCCAGCTCAAAACTCAACTGTATAGTTTTGTTAACGAGCACAAGAACTTTTTGTTAACGGCAAGTGTATTTTTCTTGACTGTACACAACAGCTTGCATTACTAGACAATCTTAAAGGCGGCAGAGCTGGCAAGGCCGAGGTAAGAATGGTCTTAGAACTATTTTGGTTAACCCATTCAATGCTTTTGCTTTGATGAGTAAAATTGTCTAGCATTTGGCAGAATAATAAAGTGAGGGTGTATTGGGATGCAATGCAACTTAATGGGTTAGTATTAAGTTCTTTTATTCATGTTTAGGCCAAAACTGAAGGGGAGGGTGGTGAGGCATCAATGGAAGACACGGTAAGTAAAAGTTTATCATTAAGTAGTGTATAGTTCGATTTGTGCACAGAAGCCCTGGTCAAACGAGGTTGAGAGTTGATGAGAGATTAGATTAACAAAATGTATAGACTGTATGTATATCCTCACTTGGATTATCAATCTACTTCAATATTCATTTCAACCAAGTGAAGTGCAGAGAAAAATCTTTCAAGTTAACAAAAAATACTGTTCCAACTGCATGTGTTCTTATTAAATAGAATACATGATAGTGGTCATCATCTGCCTATACTATCCAGGCTCGTGATTGGTTGATTATAACAACGAAACACAATAGAACTATAGAAATCGTCTTTCTAAAGAACGAGTCACAAACAATGATCCTTTTTGTTTCTGAAAGCCAGTCACAAAACATGATCATTTTAGGTAGGTCTCTTTACCCCATGATCATGTTGGGAAAGCATTAAGAACAGCTAAGCAAGGTCACATGACTGCCAACCCTCATCATGCACTCTGAGTCTCATCCTCGGCTTTATACACTGACTGCTTTCGCTGTGTGGTCCAACGTCAGAGTAAAAGTGGTATCAAGATTGAATCCTTCCTTTGCTTTGAGAAACATGGTGTACGTGTGTCTGGCCAAAACATTGTTAAGTACTGTGTTCAAATCTTTTTGAAATATTATTTTCCATAGGCTGGTGAAACTGGTGAAACTGGTGAAGCTGGTGAAGGCGATGACAAAACAATGGACACAGCTTAGTTTATAATTTTTCAGTTTTTAAACTTTCCAACTTTGAATTGTATCACAGATTGGGAATACTTAATCAGTGATTGTATTCAGGACGTTCTTTACAGTCACAACAGAATCTACATAGTAGTTGAAAAAATGCAAAAATAATGCACTTCGAATTTACTCGTTTTTTTATAGTAAAGTAAATCCTTATCCAAAAAAGTAAATGTGAAACTTTACTAAAAAAATGAGTAAACTTTGGAAACTTGCTTCTCTATATCCTATTCTCTAATATGAACAATGCCAGCGCATTGATTTTATGCAAGCAGAAAATAGTGATTACATTATCAATATCTTTCAAAAAGTACCAGACTAACTGTGTGTTAAAGTATATGTGAAATAAATAGTTGAGAAAACACAAGAGTTGATTGCAGTAGTCTATTTACTAGATATACCAGGAAACTGCCCATTTACTGTTCGGAAGTACTCCGGATTTTTGAAACACTAAATCGAACCGAAAACGGTCATATGACTGTTCTGACTGCCTTTGCTCAAAAGTAGGGGCCAGAACAGTCATGTGACCATTATTGGTTCGATTTAATTATAAAGCAAAACAAGAATAATTCTTGTATTTAACTTGGAAATGATGCAAGAAGCATTGAAACGTTGTAATAAAATACAATTAATATCGCTATCATTTGTTTCAAAGTTGATCCAGAGTACTCCAAACAGTAAATGGGCAGCCCCCAGCATAGTTAATAGAATAAAATGGTTTGGAAACTCGTTCGAATAACAATATAACTCGTTATTTATGTTGGTCAACGTCTATTCATAAATCAGGTCCTTCACGTGTGTATTGTATTTTTGCCCAGCGAACCAATAGCAATGGATTTGGCAAAAATACAATACACACGCGACGGTGAAGGAATTAGTGGCCATTTGTTTAAATGTACAGTATCCACAGGGGTAGTGTCTGGCTTGGGAAGTTGTACAGAATTATCTACAGTATATTTTTGCTTCTAAATTTAAGTTATTTCGATTTGTGTTATACTGCAATTTCGATTTGTCAGGTAATGAAACACGATCCAGAACTTCCAATCCTCGCGAATATCAACTGGAGGCAATTTAAAGATGATCCAATAGAACAGATTATACAATGGGACTGGCAACGGATCGTAGAGGATAGTAAGTTTTGTTTGTATGTATGTATGTATGTATGTATGTATGTATATATATATATATATATATATATATATATATTCATGTAGAGACTGTGCTGGTTTTTTTATAACTAAGAATTGCACACAAGGCTGCGATTGGATTTTTTTATTAAGAAAATTGCTGACTAAGTTAAGCAATATGGTCGTATTTACATCGAGTATTTTATACATTGCTCTCCACTTAAATTGAAATATACTAGAGATATTAAGCATGCACCAGGCATATCTTGAATAGAGAGTTCGCCAGCGATTTTTTTGTTCTTTGGTAATATTACAAAACATGAAAGCAAAATAATCACATTCCAAAAAGGCTATACTTCTTCCAAATTTGCTTTGCCACGATTGAACAGTTTGTTACGATTCTTCCAAACTATATACAAGTTCTTCCAAAACGACTAATTTACTTTTGCAAATTTTACATGAATGATTTTGACAAATTCTGATCCCTCTCGGGGAAAAAAATAAAGATAAATTTGTCTTCGCGTATGTGCAGATAAAGCAAATTGGGTGAATCGATATTACGTTTAGTCTATCTACATATTTTTTTTACTGTGTCCAAATTTTGAAGTTCGCATTTTAGCTTACCTACTGTACAACATTTTTGTCCTATTTTTAATTTACATCTCTTTATGTCACGTTTCAAAATTAGTGCATACTGTACAAAGTTGATTAACGGGTTCAATTCTATCTATACAACGTAAATAATTTATACCTACACACGAAGTTCTGCCAGATATTGTAAGGCAACTTTATAGCATTGCGATGGTTTCATCCATTTTAGTCCTGTGCCAAAACAAAGATCAATTTGGAAGCGAGGCAAGGTGATGACGCGATGGCGTAGAATTTGTTAGCGTTGTACTTCTTGCTGATTGAGAGAAGTTTCGAGTCTTTGTTCTTGGATTTTAAGATGAGTTGTGCGGTTTTCTTCATACATGGAAGAAGATCAAGTTCCTGGTAGTGGCTGTAGTGAGCTGTCGTCGCGTCCTGTAGTGAAGGAAAGAGATCATGGTAAGAATTACAAGGGATATTTTTGGGGTTGTACTATTTAAACGCCCGTACTCTATAAAAGCTCGCTCTCACTCGGAGGTTCAATCTGAGCTTCTTTAATGCCAGTGCGGTTTTTGAATAGCTGGAGGGTACTCATCGAGTGTGAGCGAGCTTTTAGAATACGGGCGAAAGTCTCTTTACAGCAGAGACGTAGTATATAGCAGATTTAAAACTCACTTATAATTTCACAAGGAAAAGACAAAGGAGATCGCTACCGATAAAGAATCATGTTAATTTTCAGAGACTTTAGCTTTGATTTTCTCGGCTTAGAAAAGGTTTATTTTTAAAAATATCTTCGCCTTTTCAACTGATAAAAGATGGGTTATTGTGTCGTTTGTTTTTTTTGTTTGTTTTTTTGTTGTTTTTTTTTTTTTACATTTAGAACACTCGCAGTTCGTGCTTTATCACGCCAAGGTACATTTCAACATTTGGCCCCGTAGGTTACAGTAGTGGAGGAACCAAAATCTTACTCTAGGGAGCCCACACTCGACCCTAATCTTGCTGAAACCCCCCCCTCGATGTAAAACGTTTAAAACACGCAGTGACGCAGGCTATTGTATAGACTTACCCAAGGTGTGTTGTCAGTGATTTTCATGGCAAGACACAAGGCAGCCGCAGCACGCATGGACGGTGGAAATGCGAGGCAGCCATAGTCTGGTAACATCAATTCCATGAAGTATTTCGCCAGGGTGTGTTTCTCTGCATCAACCTTAAAAACAAAATCGATATCAAGTTTAAAGCTAAGTCCACAGTAATCCGTAATAGGACTATTCCATAACTTGATGAAGTAACTATGGAAACATGTAATTTAGTTAAGATAGCTCACCTTGGCTGCTTTCGAGTTTCTTCTCAAGAAATGGATACACAATGGGTCACTGAAGTTGAATTCTAACGCAGCAGCCATTTTGGATTCACAGGCTTTGATCTGCACTGGAGTGTAAGCATTGTCTGTTATATAGACAAAATCTCTGATCTCTGGCGTGTAAATTTCTTCTATTTTAGACGCCAGGAGCATTGCAGTCACACCAATCAATTGAAGATCACATTTCTGCACTGTCGTGTCAACCTAAGATATAATGTCAGGATACGTCAGGTAAAGACGATAAAATTATTTGTAGAGAGTGTAGAGGGGTTTCACTTAAAATGATACTCAGGACTGGTTTAAACTATCAAAGTTTCTCACAGTAGGAATTTTGGGTAATCGTTCCATGTTTCGCACAACAATATCGGTAAACGTTAAAAGTCAACTGGATAGCCATATATATATATACGCACCCTAACCATAAACTTAACCCGTAAGCTTAACCTATATTGGTGCGCGAAACATGCAACGATAACCGAATTTGATATCCGTAAATTTTAAGTTTTGAAGGATTTGTAAGCAATGTTTGCAAAATTTGTAAGCCAATTGGCATAATGCTAAACACCAAGTCAGTTCCCTCAAACATGTCGTACAAATCATTCAAAACCATAGATATCTTATATACACTAGATAGCGCAGCTCTTTTAGTAAAATTGAAGCTAAGAATACTCCAGCGGTTACCCCCATTTGAATAGATGGCGGCCATGTTGGTCGTTCCCACTTGCTAATAAACGCTTAAAAGCAACAATAACTTTCATCATTTGAATAGTTTAAAGGCGTATTTGGAATAGGGTTAACTTAATGTTTAAGTTCCCTGTTTAAGAAATAGTAAACATACGAATCTTCTCATTTCATGGGAACGACCTGAGACTGCAATCACGTTATCATTAGATGCATTATCTAGTGTATACAAGATATCTATGTTCCAAACCTAGAACAGCTCCCTATGCAAAATTCCTACTTTGATTCCACTACGGCTGCTGTGAACCAGCCTAAAGACCCGGGCAAGGGCAGTCCTGGATTTGTAGTGTAAACAACGTTTTTCTGGAAGCCACATCCATTGAAAAAGGTGTTTATGAGTACTTACAGCCAGGTATCTATCGAGATACGAGATGCTGAGAAACAGGGTTTCTTGCAGCAGACGAAATTTGTCATGTACTTGGACGAGCCAGTCTACCAAGATGGCGCGCATTCTCTCGTTGATATGAGCGTGAACTTTGATGTAGTTTGGAGAAACTTGGTATGCACTCTAAAAACAAAGCAAAATACTCGCAATTTAAATTGCATTAAAACATGGGGCACGATTTCCCTCGCTACAAACAAATTACATTTATGACCCAGTCTAGTAATGCACGTTAGTTTAAATTCAAATAGTAATGTTATCTGCTTAAAATCGAGTGAATCTTCGAAACGTCGTTTGTTGATGTATTAAACACATTGAAAAAGTCTTAATGTGGTCTATACATTGAACACAAAATATATTATTAACACGAGGCTTATAGAGAAAGTTCGTTCTTAAACATTAAATAAATCAATATACATAGTACCTCTCGCGTCTTTAAGTAGTGATTGATCTGCTTGGCATATTCTGCGCATGCATATTCCTTATCCGTGTCTCCACTATCAATATCAGGAACTTCCACAAACTGTCGAGGTTTTCCTTTCAACGTCGCCAGGTCCGATTCCATAGGCTCGACAGAGTATGCGCGAGGTCGTCCAGTCATCTTCGCAGCTACTAGATCTTTGCGCGGAACGCATTCGTGAGTTTTGGTCATTTTACCTGCTGGAAACTGTGCAAAATGGAATAAATGTATTGTTGCATGTGTTACCAGTGAATGGTAGCAATGCTGGGCATCTCGGTCGATATAACCGATCGTTGAAGAATGAAGGGATTTTGTAGATGGAAATTTTGAATTGTTATACATTTTATTAGACCTATAAACCAGGAGCAGTTGCGAATACAACTAATGTATGAAGAAGAGGATGTTATTCCTTGGCATATTTGTCGTAAGCCAAAACAGTATAAAAATATTAAAAAGCAAGTATAGTCTTATGTACACCAGTGCAACTTTCCCAACAATTTCTACGAGATAAGTTGCATACCTCGGGTCTATTCACTTGTTGTCCAAGTTGTCCTAGCGCAGATCTTGCCCTTGCAGTTCTGTGAGCTTGGACCATCGCCTTTCCTTTCTGCACGCCTGCGAAAGCATTCTCTCCAAGACGCGTGTTAGGACGCTAGAAAAAAAACAAAGCAAATATATATTTAGTATAAAAAACAATATAATATGCATATAGAATATTCACATGAAACTTATTACTGCTGAAAAATATCTTCATGCCCCAATCGACAATCCAACTGAGGTCTCAGCATGGCGTAGGGTTCGTCTCAACACCGTACGCTTAGACAACTTAATATAATTTTTGAATCACGCACTGAACTAGATCGACGTTAGTTTATCCGAGTTAAAATCTCGCTTGATAAAAGCGTCAAAGTATTGCAAAGCTAAGCCTAAGGTCGCGGATCTAATCTTGCCGAAGTTATAGAAAAATTAAAGTACTTTTTATCTTTGCCTTTTATGATTGAATAGCAAACACAAAAGCTTCTATTACGAACAAACTCCGAAGCAGACTAAGCCGTAGTTCAGTTGGTTAAGAATTTTCGCAAAGCGAATGTCGCGGGTTTGACTCCGATTGCAGCCACAAACTATACAGCACTTTTGATCGACGCCTTGTGCGATTGTACACGTCTGCATCTCACATTGAAACAAAATAAGCCAATTTATTTCGACTACAGATCAGAAGAAAAAATATCAAGCCTTACGTGTTCAATTCGTTGAGCCATTCTTGATATTTTGATCTTTTGTACTTGGACAGGATTCTTTCGTTGTACTTCTCAGCTTGCTACCACGACCAAAGCTAACAATCTGCTCCAAACATCGCTATTTAAACACTTGTGCTTGCTGCTGATTGGCTGATTGCATGTGACGTATGATGATGTCACAGTTTTGATTGGCATGTTGTTGGTTTGGAAATTTTACCCGTTCCGGTTTTTGGGTTGTACCTTCGAATAACATAACTTAGTATAACAATAGCATAACAATAGTTCCATTGTCTTTTCATTGTTTCAAAAATTGCATTCTTCTCATATCATTCAGTCATGATCCAGTGATCAGAATTTTCATTGTCTTTTCACTGTTTCAAAAATCCTACTGTTCTCCATACCATCCAGTTACTCATTGTTTTGACTCATTTTAAGTATTCTGCTGCAAAGATTTTATTGGCTTATTACCATTCATGGTACTTTAAAATTCATCGGCACATTTGTATTCTGGTCTTTACTTGTTGGCGGTCGAGGAAACAACATATTGTATAAATTTCTGTTTGGATAGAAGCTGTACAGCGACAGAAAAGGAATTGTCATGTCTCGAAGTCAAGTTAATACTGTAAGCCTTTGAAAACGATAGAAATATGCTTTAGTAGTCTTCAGTCATTGCCTGTCTTTACTCTTTTGAGCGACTGATTTTGGGGCGGTTAGATTTCTCATTGAGCGACTGATTTTGAGAGGGTTAGATTTCCTCAATATAAACGTTCTTGCTCATGGGCTGGTTACTTCAAAGGCATATATTAATCTAAACCTGCGTTAATGTCTATAACTCTTTTCATATTTAGCTACATGCCTAATAAAATGCCTTTCTTTAATTGCAATAACTCGCGTTGATCGACTAGTTTTCTGCAATCAAAAAGCAAATTTAATTCTGTACCAACATCCAAACATTTCGGTTATTTTCAACGTTGCTTGCATGAATCACTAGCAGACATTTCTATTATTCGTTTAAGCCCGATTGAAAAGTTGAAATTTTCGATTTTAAGGCCCGAGTGAACAGTTGAAATTTTCGATTTTCGCTGGATCCGGTTCGAGGAAAAAGTTGAAATTTCGATTTTTAAGGCCCTAGTGAAAAGTAGAAATTTTCGATTTTTAAGGCCCGAGCGAAGAGTTGAAATTTTCGATTTTCGCTGGATCCGGTTCGAGGAAAAAGTTGAAATTTCGATTTTTAAGACCCTAGTGAAAAGTAGAAATTTTCGATTTTTAAGGCCCGAGCGAAGAGTTGAAATTTTCGATTTTCGCTGGATCCGGTTCGAGGAAAAAGTTGAAATTTCGATTTTTAAGGCCCTAGTGAAAAGTAGAAATTTTCGATTTTTAAGGCCCGAGCGAAGAGTTGAAATTTTCGATTTTCGCTCGATCCGGTTCGAGGAAAAAGTTGAAACTTCGATTTTTATTAATCCTTATATTTTTCAGGTAGTTGTATCCCTACCAACGAAAGCTTGTTCATCATGTGTGAAGAGCCCCTCACTATAGGGCAAGACGTCTAGGGTGAGCGAGGTCACATATACAAGGACATTTTACTAACGCCATCTGCTTTGTTTGTAGGCGACCGTCTTCCAAGAAAACCAAGGTCCTGTGGCACACCTTAAGGCCAAAGATGGTGAAGCAAAGCGATCTGACAGAATTAGAAATGTTCTTCACACAGTCACAAATAATAGCCGTATACCACAGGTGAGATACTGAATGACCTTCGTCGTGCTTTGCTTGTCAGACTATACCACTGTTCGTAGAAGGCGTTTGTACATCAGAATTTCGAGTGTGAACTTGATACATTTCATTTAACCCAACCAGGAGCAGTTGTGAAAAGCTAGAGACACCCTGACTGGAATCGAACCTGCGACTCCGGTGCAGAGCTCTAACCAACTGAGGCCGTTTGTACGAAGGCCAGATAGTGATTTTTTCAAGCTTTGTTAAATCAGTCGTTGATTAGTATAACTCGTATTAAAGTTTAGTATTTATAAGTTAAATGTTTTTTATACTTCTTGTGTCGTGTATATCCGTAGTTTCACAGTTTTTCAAACATTTTACAAAGGTTGAAAAAATCCCTATCTGGTGGATAGCGCTATCCAGCCTTCGTACAACCGACCCCTGAGCTACAGAGGGCAGTCGTTGAGCTCTAGCCACAAGTTCATGTGTATAGTCTAAGGTGATGCCATGCATTTGTCGGCCACGTAGATCTCATCCAAATATCTTGTTAACAAGATAGATTTTTCTTGGTTACATTGTTTTTATTTTCTGTATAGCGAAGTAAGAAAGTTTTAGCCAAACTTACAAAGCAACCTGTCTTAGAAGAAACACAACGAACTACAATTGAGACAGAATCTGTTAAGTCAGAAGTTGATATTGATAGTAAAGATGTCGTGGATATCGATGCTGAAGATCATGATAATCCATTCTCTTGTGCTGAATACGCTGAGGAAATCTACCGCTATCTGAGAAAAAGAGAGGTAGGGTTTGCTGTGAATACTGCTTTATGTATATAGGAAAATTCAGATCTAACCATACGTTTGTAATTGACCTAACCAGACTCGAAGTAACTAGAGCTATCCAGTATAAAATAGTTTATAGTTTAGTTGTCCCACAAGATAGTCAGCAGTCTAATATATGAATATTGTTAAACTGCGTTACACTTGTGGAAAATTGAAATGGTTTCCTGCAATCGTCTATGTTTGCCTTGTGTTAAGGTGAACTATTTGATCAGTGGAAGCATCGCATGCTTGTACCACATGAGGGAGAAATTCACTTTTCTAGTTTCTTCCATGTACGGCAAGCAGACACATTTGTTAATTGTTACAGCATGGCATGGCATGAAATATTTTTGTTCCTAGGATCCTAAATTTTGAGGTTAATTTTTTTTGTCGACCTCATTAATATTCTTCCTAATAAGTTATGTTCTGCAAAGAATAAACGCTTTTAAACACTTCCTGCATACGACATTCTCCTACCTGGTCAAGGATACTTTTAATGTGGATATGACATGCACTTGGTCACTCACAAGCCACTGCTCCTGCCATCGTTCCTAAACTACACTGTGTATATTTACTGTAAATAGATTTTTTTTTCTTTCTTTTTCTTTTTGTTATCTAGTCATACTTATATTTAGGGGTTGTGCCTTGCATGGGTCTCGTTTTCCCGTTTGCACTAACCCCATTGGACGTTCACCTTGTAATCTAGAATTTCTATGTTGATAAAATAAAAACAAAATAAAAAATAATCTGCAAATGTACGAAATCTTTGTATTCTGTTTAGGATATCTACCAAGTGCCTAACAACTACATCCAGTCACATAAAGAGATCAACGTAAGAATGCGAGCTATCCTGGTTGACTGGCTGGTGAGCGTTCACGATAAGTTCAAGCTGACACAGGAAACCCTATTCCTCGCCATTTCTATCTTGGATAGATACTTAGCGGTAAGTTGCTGGCTTGGGCAGGTTTGGTCAATTTTGGCTTACGCATTTGGTAAATATTTCATTTCTCCTGTGACGTCATAGTTACCAAATGCTAGCCCAGAATTGACCAAACCTGCCAAAACCAGGTTGCATTCCTATCAACCGAAGGCGTCTATAGCTCTAGCAGTTCTGAAACTGTTCCACCTAGAGGTGCGATGTCCATCTAGTGTTGCCGCAGGCAATCTCGTTCCCAGAGTATGCCTGTTCGCGGGATTGTGCCGCAGGAGAAAACCTGAACTAAACTGAGTTTACATCTTCAGGTGAACCACAAGGAAAAGAAATCAAATTTGCAACTGATTGGTGTCACTGCGATGTTTTTGGCTTCAAAAGTTGAAGACATCTATGCACCTGATATCTCAGATCTTGTCTACATCACGGACGACTCGTGTAGCTCGACTATGATCAAATCTTATGAGAGAAAAATGTCCGCTCAACTTGAGTTCAATTTTGGTGATCCACTCTGCATTCACTTCTTGAGACGAAATTCTAAAGCTTTGAAGGTAGATAGTTTATTGTTTAACTATGTTATAGGGGAACGTGCATCGCCTTTCTGCGTCTATGGAAACCAGAATAATCTATTTATACTGGATAGTTCTATCAGCCCTAAACTGTTCTTCCTAGAGGTTCAGTAAGGATCATCTCTTATTGATCCAGTGTTACTACAGGAGGAAACCTAAACTAAACTAACTTTATTTATACTGGATAGTTCTATCAGTTCAAACTGTTCTCCCTAGAGGTCCAGTAAGGATCATCTCTTATTGATCCAGTGATACCACAGGAGCAAACCTAAACTAAACTAACTTTATTCATGCTGGATAGCTCTATCAGTTCTAAACTTTCCCTCTTTGGGGTCTAGTATAAGGGTCAAACATCTAAAGTTCATTGCTATTACAGGCGACTGCACAACAACATGCTTTAGCGAAATTCTTTATGGAGTTGATGCTGTTGGATTATGAATGCTGTGTTAGTTTCCCGCCTTCTCAGCGTGCTGCTGCCGCACTTTGTGTCGCAATGAGGATCACCGATAACTCCTCCTGGGTGAGTTTTTTTATTACCTCCGTTAAGAGGTTACGGTTTCATTAACGCTTAATTTGTTCCGTTCCTTTCATTTTAGGATGCAACATTAGTTCATTACAGTTCTTATACAGAAGCATCCCTCAAACCTTGCATAATAAAAATTGCCAATTTAGTTCTTGAGTCATTGAACAAGCAATCTCAAATGGGTTCGGTCCGCCAGAAATACAGCAGAGCAAAATTCTGCAGCGTTGCCACTTTGCCATGTCTCAACTCTACCTTCATCACTGAGATACCGAAGGAAAAATAGTTTTGCTCATTGAACTGAATATTAGATGTACATAATACACGTACATATAGGAACTGTAAATTTAATATTTAAAATATTTAAAAATTTGTTATTTCACAGGTTTGTTTTGTAATTTTATTTATACTTTTAGCATAGTTATTTGTTGTACAAAAAATCAGAAAATATTAGCAAACATTTTATTTGATTGAATTTGCGCAATTTACTCTTACTTACTGTAGTTGTATAAAAATTGTAAATAGAAAAAAATAAGTAATAAATAATTTTGCTCGTTTGAATCTAGTTATCTTCCTGTTTTCACCAGTTTTAACCAGAAAACCTCGTTTGATTGTGAATAAAATCTGTTAAAACAACCTTGCATACTATGCGTAAACATACTATTTTAACATACTATGAGTGAGGTGTTTTTAATCTCTATTCGTAAACGACTTGGAGAAACAAAGCATTCATTTAGAAGAAAGTAACCATTGTTTTCCCATTGTTTTGGAAATCCGACTGTTGAATGAAGGTTTCTTGAATGCATTGGCCCGTTTTATACGTCGAATGGTCGCGTCGAATGCAATTAAGACAATTGGAATAGATAATGAGATGATAAACCTCCTTTAGCTTCTTTATCTATTTGAATTGCATTCGACGCGACCGAAATTCGACGTGTAAAACAGGTTTATGCCATCCAGACACTCGTGTATGCAAATGCCCCAAAATTAACATTGCAGAGAAGGTGATCAGCTTGGGCTAAGACATAAAATTATGGAATAAGGAGAGCCTGTCAGAGGCAGCGCGCTATTGTTAAAAAGGGCAGGGATGACGCTAGAGGGTGTAGGGCGGTCGGCTAAACTATACCCCCCCCCCCCCCCCCCCCC